GCCAGTAGTTCACAAAGTAGAATTTTTGCTTGCAAGACTCCGCAGCTTAGAGGGAGCATTGCTCACCGCGTGCGCCAACTTGCCCGCTCCCGCCCAAGCAGCCTCCTACCTTCCCTCCCTTGCACTGGTTGCTTGTGTGCCAGATAAGAGCCTTGGATGGGCTGGTTCTGGTCCCTAGCCATATGTTTGACACCCCCACCCTATGGAGTTGCCATAAGTTTGCAGCAACTTGATGGCACATTGCACCACCACCAGTTAAAATGATGGCTCCATGAACTGGCTAACATGAGCTGGTTATGAGCTCATTACTTGCGTTCCTGTAAAGATGAGGCCAGATGCAACTCTAGGAACAGTCCTAGGATATTTACAATGAATAAGGTAGGCTCAAGGATTGTGTACTGACGACCAATGTTCCCTCTAAGCTGTGGAGTCTTGTGAGCAAAAATTCTGCTTTGTGAGCTCCTGGCATTAATGTTGTGAGCGAACAATTTGGCTACTGCATAGATTAGTTTGCTCTGGAGCCCTCTTCCGTGAGCTAAGACAAAATGTGTGAGCCGGAGGCTAAAAAACTGTAAGCTGGCTCACACTAACTCAGCTTAGAGGGAACACTGCTGATGTCGTTTCTGCCAAAAAGGATATAAGGAAAGATGTTGTGTGTGTGTTTGGGAGCGAAGAGTTTTAAGATTAGAAGGCAGATAAGACTGCAGGCAGAAGGGAAGGAGACACAGTGAGATGAGATGTAGAAAACACATGTGAAGGAACCCAGTGCTAAGGAAAGGAAATTAATAAGGACCAGCTGTGTAGTGGTGGTAAAAAGGAGCAGAAAATGGGGCAAGGGAATAGTGGAGGGTGGATAAGATATCAGAATGAAGTCTTTTAAGAGGATGGATGAATGAAGTAAAGGCAGGATGGAGGAGGCAGGGGCACAGAGAAAGAAAAGTGGGACAAGGCCACCTGGGAACAGAACAGAAAAATTAGAGCATGTATTAGCTGTTGCCTATCTTTTACATGATTGTTCCTGTCTGTATACATTGCACCATTTTCTGAATATCTCACATTACATTTTAAGGCATACAGGGAGAGATTTAAAATATTTGTCAGTGGTCTACAGCCAGCCTTTTGTTCTCCCCTTTCCTTACTCTCTCCTTCCTTGTCATTTTTGCCCTGGTTTATCCTTTGGAATAATAATGGAGAAGTGGCCCCGCCCTTTGCCTTGCACCTCAAGTGTGACATGACTAGTCTTTGACTGTGCAGTTGGCCTTTATTTGTGTGTTCACCTTCACCTCCCCCTGCCCAAGAAATTGCATGAGTTGGGCAAACGCAAAAGTTGGTGATGCTATAGTGGAGATCACAGCTCATGCATTCTCTGAGGGCAAGAGGGGATGGAGGGCAGTAGTCTGTGTATGAATGTCGACTTGAGCCTTGTTCACACTCATAGGAATAGTGGCAATGAGGTGGCAGGGTTCTGAGATGGTAGAATGGACTGCACTGTTTCGTATGTAGGCTAAGGATCACGGAAGGTTACATTTTGGATTGCTTTCCAATGTTAAGAACTCCTTTCAAATAGAAAACCAACACAGCAAGCAAGCAGAGAGTCTAGAAGCTTTCTTCCTGATATGCTGGTTTTCTGTTTACATCAAAGGTTTTGTTGTTGTTTTTTTAATGCAAAGGAGAAGAGAAGAGATTGGATTTATACCCTGTCCTTCACTACCTGAAGGAATCTCAGAGTGGCTTACAATCTCCTTTCATTTCCCCTCCCCACAACAGACACCCTGTGAGGTAGGTGGGGCTGAGGGAGCTCTTTGAGAACTGCTCTTGAGAGAACAGCTCTGAAATAACTTGTGACTGACCCAAGATCACACCAACAGCTGCATGTGGAGGAATGGGGAATCAAACCCAGTTCTCCCAGATTAGGGTCCGTGCTCCCAGCCACTACACCAGAGTGGCTCTCCCAAAGGAACATTCAAATCTGGAATCCATCAGAAGATGGAAAGAAGCTGCTGTGTGGGTGTGTGTGGTATAGTCCATTTTAACCACCCCATTGCCTCTTCACTCTACTTTATGCATGAACTAGGCCTCACTCTCCACAAACTCAGCAGGTATAGAAGATATGTTATTTCCGGCATCAATGTAGTTATATCCATGTGAAAATAATTTGATATCTCAAAGACATTTCTTATGAAAAAATATGTTGTTTTGTAATCTTTTCCTGGCCTTTGAGTTGCGTCTCATGAAAGGTACTGTTATAGTAACATGTTTCTGCAGTTCTTGAAAACTCCACTAGTCTACTCAGTGATGTGAAATGTTTTTCTCTCTTTCAGATTTTACATTTTAAAATTTAAGAAAGATGTTTTTTGATTCCTGTAGGGCTTTTGAGTATGAGTTTCTTGGTTTTGCTTACTTTTAATGTTTAATTTTAGAAAGTGCTACTTCACATTCTCCTGTTTTCCAAATGGTAAATTTTCAGTCCCATTTTCAATGGCATATGGGAAGGATACATCCTCTTGCGTCTTGTCTAATGCTTCTGTTGAGATTACTATTGAGCACTTGTGTCTTATTGTCACTGTTTACAGGTTTGCCATCTGCACCTAACTCAAAAGTAGGACAGCAGCTTAGATTTAAACAATAGAATGGTACTTTATTTTTACTGCGTTTGAGAGCTTCATCTTTCTTTAAATTTCACTTATGGAATATTGCAAATTCATATTCATGGCCTTTTCTACCATATGTAGTTATCCTTAAACATACACGTATGTACAGTATGATGGGAGATTTCTTTATCTTTTAACAAAACTATCTAAATACAATCCTTAAAGCTCAAATACTTTTATGAAAAAATGAATTTCTCTCAACCTTACAAGATTATTGATTTTGTGTATCTAATTATAGGTTAGTAGAATAAATTTCAAATGTCCATGAACATTTCCTTTCCTTTCAAATTTTTGTTTCCAGTTAGTTGTGCAGATTATTGCTTCAGGTATAGGAAGTTTGGCTTTTTGATTTTGATCTTGGAAAAAATTGGTTATCAGATAATGAAAGTGGTTTTACTCAGCAGGGTATGTTTAGTTGTTCTGTCAAACCATATTACATATTACTTGCTCATTGTTCGTAAAACTGAAAAATAGTATATTTCCGGCATTTACTCCTCTTCAGTCAAATTCTGATGCCTAATTTAATAGAACCATCTAATTCCTTCAGATTTTGGCCTCTATAAAATATACTTTTGACGTTATTTACTGGAGCTGCTAAAGGACTGGGAACAGGGTTGCCGGCCTCTAGGTGGGGACCTGCAGATTCTTCAGAATTACAGCTCATCTTCAGAGCACAAAGATCTGTTCCTCTGAAGAAAATGGATGCTTTGGAGGGTGAACTCTATGGCATTGTGCCTCACTGAGGTCCCTGTCTTCCCCAGGCTCCATCCCCAAATCTCCAGGAATTTCCCAGCCTGAATCTGGAACCCTAACTGGAAACATACCTTCCATAGGAATATTAGTTCTATTAGAATCATTAATCCTGCTACTTTATTGGTGAGATTTCCTGTCTTGGATAGTTCGATAAAATGAGCCTGAGATGACTGATCTATATCTACCAACGTAACTTTTAATAAGTTGCATATGTGCTCAGTGTAGCAAGGTATCTTTGAAGTACTCCTAGTTTGGAAGCTTGAGCTTTTTGATAGTAAGTAGGATTGAGGAGGCTGAAGTTGGTTCCTTATTCGCACTTCCTTATTCATTCCTTATTCATTACTTATTTGTGTAGTCATTCAGAAACACTAAGGAGAGTGAGTTGGAAAGCTCTGAACCCCAAAATAAGGTCTGGACCACCACATATCATATACCCCCACATTCACAGTACTCTCCCCTTCGAGGGGACATATGCTGTATCCTGGTCCAAAGCACGGTTCTGGTGCCAGCTGCTCCAAA